CAGCCTCAGTAGAAGGCAATGGCAAACCTCCTCTGACCAAATCTTGCCAAGCAAACCCCATGATAGCTTTGCCTTCGGATCAGAAATGACTTGAAGGCATGCAACAACAACAAATGTCAGACTTAGGAGCTTATCGCTCCGCTAAAATAAAGCATCTTACCTCTCCCGAATTGAATTTTGGGCTGCATCCAGATATGATTGCAGGGATTTTGCTGCCGAAACCGCTGCCCGAATCCAACTCGGCCCAGCCCAGCTGCCAGGGGTGCTCAGCATGCCTCTTTTAGAAATCGTGAGTTTTCCGACTTAAGAAAATAGCCATCAGACACTGTTGCAAGTCAGTTTTTGGTCAATGTGAAAGTTGGATTTCACTACTGACCACGCTGTGTCCAAAAATTCAGGGTTGGGTTCAAGGGTTTGTAGCTGTGAAAAGAAGAGTTTGAAGTGGGGGATTAGAAGACTCTCATAGCTAGATCTTGTTGCAATAGCACCCAATGCAGGAGTGCAGCCTATCAAAATTATTGTGGCATAAATGCATAAAGGCTTGTGTGTTTAGTGTACTGAAAAGGTGAGATTACTGTTTTGTCTCTGTTGTTGAACACCAAACCAAACCACTTTCTTTCTTTGCAGATATTTTCCCCAGTAGATCCTCACTATTTTAAACACCCTCTTGAAATTCCTTTGATGCTTCATCCAAGCTGGGACATCCAAAGTCTCTCAGTTTTCAAGGTAGGTGAAATTCAATGTCAACTCTAGATCTTCCCCAATCCACAACCTGAGATCCTTTTAAACTGAAACTGCCAAGGATCAATTTTTCTGGGATTTTAAAAGACACATATGTTCTGATTATGACCTTTATGGTTCTTCCACTATCTTCCAAGAACTTTTAAAATCTTCCACTATTCAATCCACAAACCATGTCAGGAAACAAGGCTAGTCATTTTAAGATGTGTGTTCCTCTTTAAACACATATGTAGACTGTAAGCAAATGTGTTCTAAAGGCAAGCATCCAGCTTGACACCATTTTCTTCCATACCCCCCACTGTCCCTATTTGATAGGAACCATCCCTATTAATCCAATATTGTCCCACCTTTTCAGCTGCTTCTAAAATGTCCCCTCCTCCCACTTTCTCCTTTTGTGTTCAGTTTATTTCAGCTGCTGCAAAGTGAGTTCAAAGTGCAAAAGTAGTTTGTACTCAGTTAATGCAGCAAGAAGGAGAGGAGAGGAGAGGAGGGGTGGAATCTTGTCTTTTCCCGTAGACTTAGGCAAAAGCAAACTGCTGCAGCCTCTCCTAATTTCTCTGTTCTTCCTCATTAATAACTTTTACTATCTTGATCATACTGCGATGTTGAATGGCAACATGTGTCCAGGTTTTCATCTGTGAAATGTTGGGAGTCATCATCTAGAAGCCAGCATGGAGTAGTGGTTTGAGTGTTAGACAGGGAAGCTTCTCGCATTGTTAAATAAATCGCCTTACCTGATCTGGCTTAAAATTTAAATCGGGGGGCATCCTGATATTATCACAAGGATTTAGCCGCCGAATTTGCCACCCGAATGCAGTCCGGGTCCATCCCCACTCCCAGAAAAGCTCAGTGCAGCTTTTTTTTCAAAGCTGGGAGTTTTCCACCTTGAGAAAATGGCCACCGGAGCATCCTTGGGAGCAGGGATGGACTCGGGCTGCATTCGAGTGGCAAATTCGGCAGCTAAATCCTTGTGATAATATCAGGATGCTGCCCGATTTAAATTTTAAGCCAGATCAGATAAGGCAATTTATTTAACGATGCAATAAGCTCTTACAACTCTGGTGACCAGGGTTCAAATCTTCACTTGGCCATGAAAACCACTGAGTGGGCAAGTTACATACTCTCAGCCTTCAGAAACCCCTTAGGGTTGCCTTAAATTGGAAACAACTTGAAGGCACACAATAACAAATACATCCTCTCCACTCAGTACTGCCAATTCTCTGTGCTAATAGGGGATATAATTCAGCATCATCTGGAGGCCCACAGGTTCCTCATCCCTGGTTTAGGCAAAGAGTGGCAGCCAATTTGAGATTTCACAAAAGGGCACCAAACTTGAAGGTATTTAACATGGCTTTAAAGGGCACCAAACTTGAAGGTATTTAACATGGCTTTAAACATGGTTTAACATGGACTGCAATTCCCATCAGTCCTAGGAAGGCTGGGACTGAGCTGCAGTGCACAAATACGCAGAAGGTAACACCATCCCCTCTCTTATGGCATAGGTCTCTGTATGGCTACTCTAGGAAACAAAACAGGATGCTGGATCTGATAATTTTTATATGCATTTGGACCCTGACTAAGAATAATGCCAGTCCTATCTTCCATTGCATCAGGGAATTCAAAAATTATAGCAGAGTTTTCTGGGGTGCAACTATTTGGCCACTTTAGTGCTTCTGAAGTGTCCCTTCTGCTCTTCTAATGTGTTCCCTGAAGATCGCTAAGAGTTTGCAGCAGAGGTTGGAGGCCAAAGCAATTGGAAGTTTATGTGTATGGCAGTCCCATCAATTATCTTCATAGCTTCCCATTAGACATTTAATTATGTCCATCTTCCCCCACCCCCTTTTTTGCTCAGAAACAAGGGGAATAATAATCTAAGGCATTTGTGGCAGAAATGATTTCTCTGAAGTGATGGCTTTAATGGAAATGACCCATATGCCCCATGAATCAAGTTAACATCACCTTGTAAAAATATCTGGATTTGGTGTTGCCACTCTCTGCCAGGATAACGCTCTCCTTTTCTAATGTATTTTTAGCAAATGTTCTAATCCCTTTCAATTATTATTGTAATAAAAGGATGGGAAGAAAGGGGGTTGGAAATCCACCACACACCACTCTTCTGTTTTCCAAATTTTACTTATGTCTCATTGACATACAAATGGATCTTTGAATGGGATGCTGTTTTTTAAGTCTTGCCCTCTGCAGCTTTTTTTGAGAGAATCCTGGAGGAGGGTGAAAAGCCAGTTGGCCTCTCAAACTCAAAATGTTGCCCCTTTGATACATGTGGGAACATCACTGAGTAGGCTGCCAAATATTTCACCAGATGACAGGATGCTGTCCTCACACTGGGCTTTGACAGATGGGTATAGGGGAAATTCAGCAAGAAGGGATTGAGGAGTCTTTTGGAGATAGATTTAGTGTCTATACTTGGCAACTTTAGGTGGCTACCTGCATACCCTCCAACTGTCCTGATTTGGCAGGAGCAATCCCAATAAATCCTCTGCAGTCCCACTTTTTCAGTTGCTTTTTGCAATGTACCAGTTTCTCTCTCCTCCTTCTCTCACTTCCCCTTTTGTCCTCAGCTTACTTCAGTTGCTGCAAACTGAGTTCAAAGTGCAAAAGTACAGACAGCCCTCCATATCCACAGATTTTTTTTAATCCATGGATTCAAGCATCAACAACTTGAAAATATTTTTTAAAATTATGAATTCCAAAAAGTAAACCTTGATTTTGTAATTTTAAATAAGGGACAACATTTTATGATGACATTGTATTTAACAGGATTTGGTATCCACAGGAGGTCCTGGAACCAAACCACAGCAGATACCAAGGGCCCACTAGTTTGCACTCAATTAACTCAACAGAAGGAGAGGAGATGAGGGTCTGTGTGGAGTCTTCCCCTTCCCATTAGTCCCCAGCAAAAGCAAACTGCTGTAGCATCTCCTAATTTATCTGTTCTTTCTGACTAATAACATTTGCCACCTTGATCATACTCTGTTGATTGGCCACACATGTCTCAGTTTTCATCTGTGAAACGTTGGAGGGTATGTGCCAGGGATCTAGGACATTCGGGAAACATTACTTTTTAGACTACAGTACCCGGAATGCCTCAGCCAGCATTGTTAGAGGCTGGGCATTCTGGCTGTTATAGTCCAAAAAGTAACTTTTCCAAATTCTTCTCAGGGGCTTGATGGAAACCCATGCTTCCATGAGATGCTTTCATTACCATTGAACAGAACTGGCTATCTGGCAGGTTGACTGGCAGGACCAGCATGGTCATTCCATTGAGAGAAGCTGCCTGTTTTCCCCTACCACAACCCATTTGCTGCTTGCCTATTGCCCCCAAGTGTAGGTGGCTGTCACAACTGGAGGATTACTCAGGAGGAGGTTTCAGGGCAGCATCGGCGGCATTCTCCTTGCGGTAACATGTGTTCTTGCCCAGTTTTGTGCTGTTTCATTCCCATTCCTGCGAGTGCCGTGTGATAAACTTAAGTGTGTAGTATTTCAGCTCCATGGCAATTGGTGGCTTCCATGTTGATGGGAGAGCAAATGTGTTCCGGGTTCTTGTCTAAACTTTAAAGAAGTGGAGTTATTTTGAACATATTTTGTGAATGGGGTACATCACTTTGGAGTGGGAACCAACGTCCTTGTTGGAGGAAAGGTCACCTAAACATGGAAAGTGTTACCTTGATTCCACAAATGGCTTTCACACGTAATTACCTTAATTGCGAAATTACAGTAAGCACATTTAACGTTCACACACAAGTGAGAAAAGCCCGTAAATGTACTAGAAATTATCTTCTTGCACATGCGCAGATAGAGGAATGGACTCGCCGTGGAACCATGGGAACAGCAGGGAAATGCGAAATTACCTTAATTTCGCATTTGCATTTCCTCCAAACAACCAAATTTCAAAAGATCTCGGTTAACACAAGTTTCTGTCCACTTTCTGTCCAGTTTCTGTGCGACGTCGTGTGAAAACGCGAGGCACAAATCCAGTTTCTGTTTGGGAGTTGTTTGGATTAACCAGCAGATTTGCCCCTGTGTGATAACGTCCATAGTCAGTACTTGATCCTAGAATGGGTACTTGTGGCAAAGAATTTATATTATTGTATGCCTTCAAGTTGTTTGCGACTTATGGTGACTCTATGGCAAACCTATCATGGGGCTTTCTTGGCAAGTTTCTTCAGAGGAGGATTACCATTGCCATCCTCTGAGGCTGTGAGAGTATGACTTGCCCAAGGTCACCCAGTGGATTTTCATGTCTGAGCAGGGATTCAAACCCTGGTCTCCTGAGTCCTAGTGCAATGCTCAAACCACTACACCATGCTGGCTCTCAACGTGCAAACACAGAATGCATAGACACCCCTTTAAACTTTGCCAGCTGGGAATCAGTGGATGCCCACCCAGGCATTAAAACCACTCTCCCCACCTCCACCCCCCTCAAAATTTCTCTGTCTCCAGAGCTGATTGTCTTGAGATTTCTCTCCCTGCTAGGAGGCCCAGAATATCATAACAGTTCTGGGAGATGTCAGACTGCTCCGTGAGATCCAGCAACACTACTCTTTACATGCTCAGGGCACTCTCTTCTTTGCTGATGAGCTCATATGGTTTACTGGAAAGTGTTCACATTGCAAAGTGATTCCAGGGTAGACATTTTTCTACTTCAGATGGATTGAACTGGATTTACATACCCTCCAACTATTCTAATTTGACTGGGACAGTCCCAATTAATCTTATTTTGTTCTAATTTTTCTGGTGTTTTTAAAATGGCCCAGTTTCTCTCTCCTTCTCCCACTTCCCCCCTTTATCCTCAGTTTACTTCAATCATTGCAAACTAAATTCAAAGTGCAGAAGTAGTATGCACTCATTTAATCCAACAGTGAAGAAAAGAAGGTGGAATCTTGCCCTTCCCTGTGGAATAAGGCAAAAGCAAACTGCCGCAGCCTCTCCTGATTTGTATGTCTTTATTCATTAATAGCTTTTGCCATCTTGATCACACTCTGATGTTTCTGGGCCACTTTTGTCTCACTTCTCATCTGTGAAAGATTGGTGGGCATGGATTCAGATGTGTTCTCTTAGGCACTCCCTTCCAAAGACTGTCAGAGACACAAATGAGAAAATTTCTTGTCTTCTGACTCATCGATGTCTGCACGCCTCCGAAAATGTCTCTCTGGATGACAAAAGAGGAGGAAGATAGAGTCACTCTGCATTAGAGCACATTTGAAACCCGATATTAGGAGAATAAGCCAGGAAAGAGCAGGAGGCCCTTTCAGGCTTGCAGACAAAAACCGTTATAAGGTCCAACAGCTGGGAGGTGAAGTCAGACAAAAATGAGCCCTGAAATAAACCCCACTTCCTGGTGGGGAGGAGTAGGAGTCAATTCAGGTGCAACTTACTATAGGATACCTACAAGGTGTTGGGGAGGCAGGGGATGGGGAGGAAATGTCTGCTTCACCCTCATCAATGTTCTGTGGGTTTGCACCTGAAAATCAGAAAATGGGAGTTTCTGTGGTCAGCACCCCTCACCTCAACCTGTATCCTATTCTGATTTATGCCCCATTGTCAAACTTCTGTGGATTGTTGAAGTTCTGTGAACTTAAGAAGGACAGTTTGGGTAGCCACCCTTCCGGAAAGGACTATGAATGATGATGCAGATTTGTATAAAAAGGGCATGTGTGTTAATAGCAATATGTGCATTTGGAAATCACTACTATAATATATAAGGATCAGCATGGTATTGTGGTTTGAATGTTGGACTAGGACCCTGGGAGACCAGTGTTTGAATCCCGACTTGACAATGGAAACCCACTGGGTGACCTTGGGCAAGTCACACACTCTCAGCCTCAGAAGAAATTTGCCAAGAAAATCCTATGATAGGTCTTTCTTAGGGTTGCCATAACTGGGAAACAAGTTGAAGGCACACAACAACAACTATAATATAAACTGGGTCAGTAATTCTGAAAGCTGAATGAGATCTCCTCTCGTGCCTTTTTTACAGCCCACTGTTTCCTCCAGGACCCTCCTAAAATGTCACTTTGAAAAAAAGTAACAAGAGAAGAAAAAAGATCAATAGAAACTGATCAATAGAAAACTGATATAGAAAGCTGATCAATAGGAAACCAGCAGAAGAGTTGGGAAATAAAATTATATCTCTATATATTATAAATAAATTTTAAAAGTCAATTTTTAGTAATTCTAAAAACTACATAGTCTGTACAGTTTTTTATTGCTAAAGGTACAATGAGAGCTATTATGGTACAGAGAGTGATTTGAGTGTTGGACTTGTGAGTCTGGGAGACCAGGGTTTGAACCCCTGCTCAGCCATGGAAACCCACTGGGTGACTGTGGTCAAGTCACACTTTCTCAGTCTCAGAAAAAGTCAGTGAGAAACCTCCTGAACAAATCTTGCCGGGAAGACTCCATGACAGGTTAGCCTTAGGTTGCCATAGACTGGAAATGACTTGAAGTCATATAACAGTAATAAAATGTACAATAGATGCAAAGGTCTGATGGGTGTGAATCCTTTTACTGGAGGAAGATTAATAACCATTGATGTAAATAAACCAACAACATATGGGTCAGACTGAAGGTGAGATACGTTTTGGCAGTACTGGCTTTCTCAGTGGCCAATATTGATCTTCATCAAGTATGGATGATGAAGGCAGGAACATACCCTCCAATATTTCACAGATGAAAACTGGGACACTTATAGAATCATAGAATCATAGAGTTGGAAGAGACCACAAGGACCATCCAGTCCAACCCCCTGCCATGCAGGAACTCCCAATCAAAGCATCCCTGACAGATGGCCATCTGTTTATAGCCAAACCACATCAGAGTGTGGTCAATATGTCAAAAGCGATGAATGAGGAAGAACACTTATATTAGGAAAAGTTGCAGCAGTTTGCCTTTACCTGAGTCTATTTGGGAAGTACAGGATTCTGCTGATCCCCTCTGTGGAGTTGAGTGCAAACTACCTTGGCATTTTTGAACCCAGTATGCAGCAATAATATGAGGACAAGGGAGAAATATGGGAGGAGGAGAAAGAAAGTGAAACATTTTTAATAGCTGGTGAAAAAGCAGAAAGGCTGAGGATTGCTCCTGCCAAATTAGGACAGTTAGAAGGTGTGCAAGAGGCTGTTGTGGTTGTATGCCTTCAGGTTATTTCCAACTTATGGCGACCCTAAGGAGATCCTCTCTGTTCTTCAGAGAGGTTTTGTCATTGCCATCTTCTGAGGCTGAAAGAGTGTGACTTGCCCAAGATCATTCAGTATAAAAACCATTATTAATGATTCTATATGGTGTGGTGTACAGGTCAATGAGTGTGTGTGTGTGTGTGTGTGTGTGTGTGTGTGTGTGTGTGTGTGTGTGTGTGAGAGAGATACTATGAGTTATCACACCAGGTGATACCAACCCTAGTGACGCCAATGTGGGGAGGGCTAGTTGCAATCCAGCAACATATAGGAGATTATTGCAGCGCTAATTAAACTGGTTTAGCTGAGCTGGCTTAAAATTTAAAACGGGCAGTTTATCACAAGGATTTTGCCACCAAAATCGCCGCCTCGGTGCAGCCTGGGTCTATCCCTGCTCCCATAGTCGCTCAGCATGGCTTTTTTCAAAGCTGGGAGTTTTCCGCTTAAAGAGATGGCCACTGGAGCAGCCCTGGGAACGGCAATGGACCTGGGATGCATCCAGGTGCTGATTTCAGTGGCTAAATCCTTATGATAAAATTAGGATGCTGGTCGTTTTAAATTTGAAGCTGGCTCAGCTAAACCGGTTTAATTAGCACTGCAATAGAGGGTCACCCATTTCCCAGCCTTGAAGCAACAGAGTGTTGCTTGCAAAATAGGACACATGGCCACCCTAGGCTATAAACTGTACAAAGTGTGTTTGACTAGTCCCAGAAAAGGGAAGAGTTAACTTTTATTTTGGATGACAATTCCCAGAATCTCCCAAACAGCATCACACACCATGCTGGCTAGGGGATTCTGGGAACTGCTGTAGCCATCATTAACCACCAGAGACGGACTCTTTTGCTCCCTCCTGTTCTCCCCCCGTTTTTCTTTTGCATTCTATTTTCAAGTGAAGGGCATAAACTGCATTTCCATGTTTCCTCATCTGTGACTTTGAGGCGGAGGTGGGTGGGCTAGGAGAGAGCCATACAAAGCCAAGCAGTTTTCCTTAGAGCCGGAAATAGTGATTCTGGGCGATGAGACATATTGTCATTAAATTAGCAGCACACAGAAATATGAGGTCAGAAAACTTAAAAGAGCCAAAGAGAGACTTGAGGAGTGCTGTATGTGTGTGGAGATCATTTGATTCATTTTGAATACTTGAGGAGGAATTTGAAGGAAATCAATGGAC